TGTAAAAATTGCTGTGAAATCGCTACGTCTGCGGGAACGTGCAACTGAACCCGTAGCGATTCTGGTCGCTTGCGACGAGTTGCAAGAAATCAAACTGTTTTGATTTTGAGCCACTGGTCGCTCCCATTGCTCCCAAATCGCTCTAGCATTGCTTCGAAATCGCATGTGTGCGCACACGCGGTGACACATCAACCGATCGCTTGCGGTTGTAGGTTGCAGCGACGAGTAACCAAAAATCGCAGGTCTGCGCTAGGCTTAAGTGAAAAATATTAGCAAAAACACGATCCTCGATCGCCCGCTGGAGCAATGTCGGTCATCACGCCATGACGCGTTCACTAGATTGACCGCAGACGGGCGAGCGCGGAACAAAACACATGCATATTAAAAGCTTTGAGCACCCACAAACCTAGCTCTAGTACTATAGAGCCGCGCGTACAGTTGCCGCAAGGCTCTAGAACATTCATTACGAATGCTAGGGACCAACTTATTCACGGTTACTCGCGGCTATAAAACGCCTGTGGTAGGCAATTAATGCTCTTATCCAAAGTGAATATGTCTTAAGTTATATCAGCTACTAAAATTTAACCTCTAAACTTAAAAATGGTTCTTGCAGTATTTCTTGTGAACAAACATTATTTACGAACTTCAACGAACACTTTGTGCAGCAGCGCCAGTGCGATTGGTCCCTAGCATTCGTAATAGAATGTTCTATAGCAACTGTACGCGGGCTATAGTAACTACGACCGTAAAAGGTGAGCTAATCGCCGACTAAATGAAACAAAATCTTCAATTACTAATCATAACATGCGCAGTTTGCCAAATCAAGGTCGCAGCTGAAGCACACCCGACAAATCGTACAATAGATGCAATGTCGACACACTAACCCCGTGCATAGTTTGATTTAATCCACTGGCAAAGACTCGGAACTTCTACCTCTCTGCAACCTCAAAGCCATGTATAGGTTTAGTGTGAGGTTGCCTGCCCTATGTACAAAAACGATGGCAGTGCTGCACCAAAAATTGAAAATTCGACAGAGTACAAACGAGTGAGTGTGTTCATAAACGACGATGAGAATAAGCCATATCGGAAAGGCCACCATTTATTTTGTTT